CTTGCGAGGCAGCCGGCGGCACCACTGAGCTAAATCCCCAACGTGGAACTCAAATCTTTATTCCACCCTGAGACAGCCACCACAAACACGCCTACAGGGTCTGATTCTCGGCTCGGGGCTGGGCTGTACCAACGCGCCTACTGAGAGAGCCCACAGATACCTCCCGCCGCCAGGGGGCGCGCGCGACCTTTGTGCCACTCTGGGCCTCAATTCTGGCAGTGAGTAGATATCCCAGAGTTCCGCTCGGCGTGGGTCCTTCCGCTGCCGCAGCCATTGAAGAGCACCAGGTAAGTGGATTGTCGCTGCCGGCATCCTCCGCCATCCGGGACCCCGGTCCCGTTGTATGGGTTCGAGGATGGATAGGTGCGGCGAGTGAGCCCGAGGAAGCCGGGGCGCGGGGTTCCGAGCCTGAACTCATTTTGTTCTTACCCCTTCTCCCTCCGCTTTCCCCAGCCATGGCTCTACGCTACCCCATGGCCGTGGGCCTCAATAAGGGCCACAAGGTGACCAAGAACGTGAGCAAACCGAGGCACAGCCGCCGCCGCGGGGTGAGTGTAGGGGTCGGCGGAGTCTCGGGGAGGCGCTGCGGGCGGGGTGCTTAGCATCTTGGGGGATTCGAGAGGAAGGGGGGTGTTGGGCCGCCCAGAAGCGCGGCCTAGACTCCATCGCTCGCCTGAGCGAGACAGACCCGGGGGGCGCACGCTGAACCGTCGGGCCGGGCAGATAGGGCAGTGTTGGGGCCGACCTGGGGGTAGCGGGCTTGCGACGTGCGTGTGTGAGCGGAAGTTTGCTCTACATCAGGGGCTTACCCGAGAATGGTGTATGGAGGGAAAGACGAGGCCTTTCGTGTCGTGTTTGGAGGTTTGATTTGGTAGGGTTTTAGGAGCATTCCTGACCCCACGGTACCGGGGACAGTTGTCCACAGCGCCAGGGCTGGCGGTCAGTGCTTCTGTCCCAAACACAGTGAAAGCTTTCCTGGTTTTGGTTCCTTGGCTACTGGGGGGTGCACCCTGGGCTTTCTGCCCTGAGCTACAGCTCCAGCCCTTTAACTTCTCATCCCGAGACAGGAACTTGTTTTATGTTCGCCTCAGCCTCCCAGAGCTGGGGACTAAAAGCTTGTGCGACTGTCTGGCCTCTACCTTTTTTTTTTTTGGTACCGGGGAACAAACTCGGGTCCTTGTGCTTGCGAGGCAGGCGACGGAACGACTGAGCTAAATCCCCGGCCCTCTACCTTGTTTCCTGTATGTGGTGCTGAGGATAGAATCTTGGGCTTGGTGCAGGCTAATTGGTTACAGGCACTCAGAGCAGCCAGGGAAACTGAGGTAGGATGCAGGGTGCCTACGTTAGCGAACAGTGCAAAGGGCTGAGTTCCACGTGACGCCTGCTTTGTCCCCCAGCGCCTCACCAAGCACACCAAGTTTGTGCGGGACATGATCCGGGAGGTGTGTGGCTTTGCCCCCTATGAGCGGCGTGCCATGGAACTGCTCAAGGTCTCCAAGGACAAACGGGCCCTCAAGTTCATCAAGAAAAGGGTAGGTGAGCAGCAGCGGGCACTGGGAGGTGGGGCAGGACCGCCCGGCTGATGGTGGCCCCCCCTTGCTGTACAGGTGGGAACACACATCCGAGCCAAGAGGAAGCGCGAGGAGCTGAGCAATGTGCTGGCCGCCATGAGGAAAGCAGCTGCCAAGAAGGACTGAGCCCCTCCTCTGTGCGGAATAAACCTTTGCAGAAAGTTCTGTGCGGCCTCTTCTGTCCCCCCGCTGGCCAAGGCCCCATTCCTCCTTGGGTGCAGGCAGACACAGGCAGCAGCCGCACAGTACTGAAAATGCTTTACTCGTGATTAACAGCTTCATGATTCAGCCGGTCAGGTCTGGGACCCAGGCCAGTGTCCACAGTGCCGAGCCTGCAGCCCCTCCCCAGTGCAGCTTCCATGTGGCTCACAGTTCTGGAGCCATCACCGCTCCACAGCCAGGGCCTCTGCGTGTCGCTGGGGGACAGGGAAGGCAATGTCGAAGACCTGGGAGTAGTGCTCCACGAAGTGCACCTCCAGGCCCTCGGTGATGAAAGCTGCCAAGTCGTAGAAGTCCTTCTTGTTTTCGGCTGGGAGGACGATGCAGGTCACGCCAGCACGCTTGGCCTATGGGGGGGGCTGGGTGGTCACTCAGCCAGGCCTGGCTGGGTGCAGCTTAGGGTGGGGAAACTGAGGCCTGCCCGCTGCAAAACCATAGGCCCCCACAGACCTCAGTGTAGAAGAGGGTGCTAGGCCCACCCCAACCCACTGGGAACCCAGGCTGCTTTGCACCCTTTGCCCAGCTGGCTGTGCCCCCAACTCTCCTGTACCACATGCCCCGAGCCTGTGGCTGCTGTCCCTCAATGGAGCTGGCCATGTAGCCCAATTCTCCTGCCTCAGCCTCCCAAGCAGGCCCCACTCTTCCAAGACAGTGTTTATGTTTGCCATCAAGCACTGGGCAGCTCCAGAGACAGG